CTTAGTACTCAAGCAAATAGTAAAATGTGAGTGGAAAGACCTTCATCAGTGGGCTTTTTCGGGCTTCAATTCCAGCTAAATCCCTCCCAGACGCAACTCCAACGGATTTTAAATCCGCTGGACTCGTGTCTGGGAGGCCAGGGGCCGAGCATCATGCGCATCAGCGGGTCTTTTGGGGGTTTCAAACCTCCTCAAATTCAAGTCCAACGGATTTTAAATCCGTTGGACTTGTACATGGGTGCGATTTGTTGCCGTTTTTTGGCCTCCAAGTGGAGTCCCAGTGCTAAGAAATATGATTTGTTGCCGTTGGTTTGGCCTCGGCGGTGCCCAGTGCTAGGAAGTGCGAGTTGTCGCCGATGTCTTTCGCATCCAAGCAGTGCCCCAGTGCTAAGATCGGCGCTGGCGCCGTGCCCCACTCATTCCCTCATTCCCTGCTAAAGGCCGGCCAGCTGCCTTCGGCATCGCCTTTGGTTCTCGTGCATCAGGGGTGAGGTGGATGCCGGGGAGAATAAGGAAAGGCTGAATAACAAATCAGGGGAAGCTGCCTTTGCCGCCGGCGAGCCCGCCACGGGAGCCTCAGGGAGACACTTGCATGAAAAGAAGCAAATGCTGAAGCAAATCAGCCCAGCACCGGCGCCTCTGCCTTCGGCACCTCTGCCTTCGGCACGGCCTTTGCATGGTTCTTGCGCATCACGGTTTAGGGTTTAGGGCATCACCTAGGCAGCCTTCTGCGTTGAGGGTTTAGATAGGGTTGAGGGCACTGGCCGAGTGGCACAATTTTGCTCGTCAAGCAGCAGGTAAGCGCTGTCAGAGTGGGCGGGGGGGCAGCAATCCGAAGATCAAAAGCTAGCAAATTCGTAAACGACCGGCCGCGCTCTGCGTGCCGCGTCTTTGACGCAGTCGGCAGGCGTTGAAAAAGCGTGACCCGGTCAATTCCACGTGTCTGTCAGTGTTTCACAGACAGCGTGCGGAGACAGGCTCCGCGGGCTTTCCACAGGACTTAGTCCACCCGCTCAAATAGCATTGTGCCCATCTCCTCCATGGCTGGCACTGGACCTGGAGCTGCAGCAGAAGGAGTTGGCCGTACGACCGCCTTCGGACTCGATTCAGGGCTCTTGTAAGCGCCGATGAGTTCCCGAGCATAGTTTAACACCAGTTGCAAGCTGCTGTAGTTCTTGTAGCTGCCCAGCCATAGCTTGGACATCGCCAACAAATCCCTGAAGCTTCGCACGTAGCCCGCCAGGGACAACCGGAGCCGCTGCAGTGCCTGGTTCTGGGCGTTCTGGTGGTGGTAGGCTGCCCCGAGCACCTGACCACTGAGTAGTTTCGTTTCAGAACTATACCGATCTTCTAAGATCTGCCCAACTCAGACATGAACCAATCAATTAAAGACCCGAGATCTACGAGCAACGCGACTACCTCCATCAGGTGACAACCTGGATCGTGCAGATGGACAGGACTCAGTGCAAGACTCTGTCATACCTCGGACACATTGGAATCCACCCGGACGATTGGCAAGATGCGGGGAACTTTGTCTACTGCGCTGCCATCATGACTCTGCCGCCGATGAGAGACGTGATTTGGGAAGCCTTCCCAGACCTGGGGCAGGAGAAGATGGCGGACGTCATGGAAGCCGCGACCCGGCTGCAGCCAGGATCAACCGCGTCGTTCAAGGCCGACTGGATCATCTCAACGGGCAACACGTCCTCGCAGCCTTTGCAGCACCAGAACTGGCCGCCATAGGCATACGGTGAGCCTTCCTTCAGCTGCACCTTGTGCCAGTGCCTCTTAGTCATCTCCAGATCTAAAGCACAAAGCGGGCACTTCATTGTCATGGCACCCAGCAAAGAAGGCAGCCTTAAGCAAAACTGGCTGCAGACAGCAACCAGTTTCCGAGGGTTATATAGGGTTATATATGGCTTAAGGGCCTGGGCTGTTCGGCTTCAACTCGAGTTCGCATTTATGGGCCCGCTAGACAGCTGAAAACTGCTAATATATAAGGGGTAAGGTGGATGGCGGGGAGAATAAGGAAAGGCTTAACAAAATCGCCCCGGCACTGGGGAAGCTGCCTTTGCCGCCGGCGAGCCCGCCACGCGAGCCTCAGGGAGGCACTTGCATGGGAAGAAGAAGCAAATGCTTGAACAAATCAGCCCCGCACCGGCGCCTCTGCCTTCGGCATGGCCTTTGCATGGTTCTTGCGCATCAGGGGTAAGGTGGATGGCGGGGAGAATATTAACAAATCAGCCCGGCACCGGCGAATCTGCCGCTGTCTGCGGCGATCCCGCCACGGGAGCCTCAGGGAGGCAGTTGCAGGGAAAGAAATTGCAAATTCTCAAACAAATCAGCCCCGCGCCGGCAACTCTGCCTTCGGCGTCGCCTTTGGTTCTTGTGCATCAGGGGGGACACGAGGATGGCGGGGAAGGCTTTAAACATCAGCCCGGCACTGCTGCCTCGGTCCCGGCTGCCTGAGGGAAACACACTGGATTCGGATAGGCAAAACAAGGAAATGCTCGAGACTATTGAATGTGGATAAACTGAGGCCAGCACTGCTGCCGTGCTTGCTGCCTGTGGCCCAGGCTTGTTACACACAGCGAGACTCAGCAACCCAGACAACTCAGCTGTTCGGTGCCTTCGGCGGCTTCGGCTGAGCCTGGTGAGGCGACGCTGGTGGCTTCACATGTTGATTTTGGCACTGAGACTTGACTTCAAAGAAATACCAACTGTAAGCGAGCTCCCAGCTTTCGGAGCCAGGCCACGGTCGGCTGCATGGGATGCCTCAGGTAGACAAGGATGGGCAAAAGAACGCAAGCCTCGGCGAAGAAGCCTGACAAACGAGCTCCCAGCCGAGCTTGGCCGTGACTTTGGAGCCTTTGGTCACAATTAAGAAAAGGAGCTTCGCTGGCTCAACTTCAGAAGACCAGGATCTATTGCGCTTGGGCCCTGGCCGGATCTTCCTCTGAATCCTGCACAGGACTTGGGCTATGTAGGCCGCTGTATCAACTGATTCCAGGAACCGAGGCTGGGGCTGAGTTGAAGGATCCGAAGCGGACCGCCTTTCCACGAAATTATGCACGCTGCCACGTGCTCTGACACAGCCCTCTTGGACTCCGACTGCTTCACGTTGCCGCCGAGCTTCCCTTTGCCATGGGTGCTCCCCTGTCCGCCGATTTTTCCGGAAGCTGTCAACAGGAAGCGTATGCTTGCTGCTGTGCCCCCGGCTTTCAAAACGGTCGCCCTTTCCCGGCCCTGCAAACAGGAATAAGTGCATGCAGCCAACATGCCGGCCTTACGCTTCTGATGCTTTCCCTGCTGTGCTCCCTGCCTTTACCGTGGGCCTGCGGAGGGCCTGCCAACGGAACATGTCAGGATATGTTGGGAATATCAGAACGAATGATAGCAGCTAATGCCATCGAAGCACTCCGTGCTAGCTCCCAGCCTTCGGGCCGCAGCGGTCGCGGCCGTGGTCCAGGCTCTTCGGGCCGCAGCGGTCGCGGCCCAGGCTCAACTGATCGGACATCGCAACCACAAGAGCAACATGCAGTGCCAGTTCCCGTCCACACCTGGGGGAGGGGGCGGTGGTGGGCCTGTCAGCAGAGCTGATTCCAATGAAGGAGTATACAACAACAGCAGACGGAACCCGATCGCAGAAGTGATGGTAAAAAAAACCCCGACCTCGATCCGCTGGATATGCAGGCGGGTTGCCTGTTCGGATAAACAGAGATCTAGTAAAGAGACATGGTTGTGATTCTGAACTGTGACCGCAGTAACAGCAGCTGCAATCACAGCAAAAACCGGGACCCGAACCTGGCGGAACCCCCATGGCGCCTGATCGCAGCATTAGCATCGCAGCAAATGAAATGAGAACAGCAGCTATACTGCCGGTTCCAAGCCCCACCTGCGCAAGGCCTTGGCATCGGTCCTGTTCGGAAGAACAAGAAACAACAAACAATTATCAGTCCCGCTCACACCTCCAGCTGGCGCCACGTTCAGTCCTGTTCGGAACACTGACTCTGAAAAAATATCGTCGCTGCCAATTCCAAGCCCCGCCTGCGCCCGGAGCTACTGCAGCTGCAGCTGGCCCTGGCATCTGATAAACCAAACGATGAAATTATTACTCCCGGCCACACCTCCAGGCGACACCATGGGCTGTCCTGCGCCGCATGGCATTGGGCCTGTTCGAAAGAAAAAACGAACAATGAAATTATTATTCCCGGCCACGTGCACCTCTGGGTGGCATCATGGGCTGTCCTGTTCGGAGCATTGAATCTAAAGTAAGATCGTCGCTAACAGTCCCGGCCACACCTCCAGGTGGAACCATGGGCTGTCCTGTTCAGAACATTGAATCTAAAGTAAGATCGTCGCTAACAGTCCCGGCCACACCTCCAGGTGGAACCATCTGCTGTCCTGTTCGGAACATTGACTCGGAAAAAAGATCGTCACTGCCACTTTGAAGCCCCACCTGCGTCCACACCAGCTGGCCTTGGCATCGGGCCTGTTCGGGAAAACAAAAAAAACAAACAATGAACTTATTAGTCCCGGCCACATGCACCTCCAGGTGGCATCATGGGACAGCCTGTTCGGAACATTTATTGAATCCAAAGTAAGATCGTCGCTAACAGCCTCGGCCACACCTCCAGGTGGAACCATCTGCTGTCCTGTTCGGAACATTGACTCGGAAAAATGATCGTCGCTGCCAATTCCAAGCCCCGCCTGCGCCGGGAGCTACTGGCCTTGGCATCATGCCTGTTCGGGAGAACATAAATGAAAAGTAGCAGCAATCAACGGTCAGCACTTCTTCCCAACCACCTGCAGGGAGTCCTGGCACCATCGGCACGGGGACCAGGAAGCCAATGCCTGTTCGGAAGACAGATATCTAGGCTACTAGCAATCAGCACGTGTTCTCAACCACCTCCTGCAGAGAGTGCAGTCGGTACTGCTGGAGCCACCGTTCAGAGAAACGATAACAGCAAGCAGCAATCAGCACAAGTATCAATCCGATCCGTCCCCGCCTTGGCTTCCAACGTCGGTGAACAGCCGTTCCGGAGCAACCGCGTTGAAGCCGGACAGGCCCAAGCGCCACACCTCGTGTAAGGCCGCGTAGTGGCCTGCAGACAGGGGATTTTGTATTTCAGTAGGCATGATCATGTGCCGGCCTTTGATGTTGTTGTAGAAGCCTTGCTGCAGGATGCTGCTGCTGATCGCCTCATGACTGCAAGGCTTACAGAAACCCGTTCAAGTTTGCTGCTCTTAAACTTACTACGTTCGATCTGGGCCATTGACCGTGTTCATGGCCTGGAGGGTCTGATCCCTCTCCTTGGTGACCTCCTCCAACCGGTCCTGTCAGGAGGTCAAGGCTGTCCACTTCTTTCAGTGTTGGGAGCGTTGTGCCGTGCTGACACACCTTTCGGTGCATAGCTTTCTTGGGGGGTTGCATGCCGGGCGTGTTGTTGCTTGTTTTTGCTTGGGGGTGACACCTTTCGGTGCTCCTGCAGGTGCTCATTCTGCACTTCCAGCCTGGCCATGTGTGCGACCTGTGGCCAGGCAACGACTCTGAACTTGATACGGGCTCGGATGCATCAAAGGAACCCTGCCTCATCGTCCCTTTCTTTGCTGCGTCGAGAGGCTCTCTTCTCCCCCGCCAAACAATTCCTGGCATGGAGAAGGTCTCATGAATAAGTTACGACTAGTGACGTAGTGTAAATCAAGCGTGTCAGCCGCACTTTCCGGACGAATAGAAGCCCCAGCCGACTGGCCGGGGTGGTCCGCCGGGGCCACCGCCGGGGCCACCGCCAAACCCACCGCCGGGGCCACCTCCGGCGCCTCCGGCGCCGCCGACGCACGCCATTGGCTTGGACAGCTCAGATGCAACCTTTAGGGTGTAGTTGTGGTCCCGATGCAACCTTTAGGGTGTAGTTTAGTTGTGGTCCCGGCAATAGACTTCAGTAGCTGACCTTGACAGCCTACATCCTGCAAAAGCACATTCTTCCTTAGTTAGTTGTGGTCCCGGTAGTAGACTTCAGTAGCTGACCTGGACAGCCTACATCCTGCAAAACATGAACTTTCATGTTTTGCTTTCTCGTGGCATGGCATGTTCTTCCTTCAGCCAGGGCAAGCAGCCGGCCAGTCACGCTTCAGTGCAACTGTCACTTTCCAGTGCTGCACGGCCAACCAATTGCAGCCGAAGCTCTGCCCCAGATAGTCTCCTCAAAGTCGTGGGAATCGCAAGGCCTGCGTTCCAGGCTTCAGCAATGAGCGGGCCAATTGCGGAGCTTCCACCCCACATGACCGGAGTCCTGGAAAACAATGAGTCCGGCAGCTCCAGGCCAGAAAAAACCATCCGACATCAGCTCCAACCTGCCAGGGTTGAAAGGGTTGAGTTAAAGTTCGGAGGGAGGCAGGGTCTCACCTTCCGGTGCTCTCACCTCTCGGTGCTCTCAGCTTTCGGTGCTCTGACGTTTCGGTGCTTGGGGTCCGCAGTCCTGGTAGGCGATCAGTCCGGCAGCCCAGCCATCAGCTTGAACACCTGCCAGGGTTGAAAGGCTTCGTTCGGAGGGACTCAGGGGTTCACCTTTCGGTGCTCTCAACTTTCGGTGCTCTCACCTTCCGGTGCTCTCACCTTTCGGTGCTTCCCCTGCGGGGTCCGCAGTCCTGGTAGGCGATCAATCCAGCAGCCCAGACATCAGCTTGAACACCTGCCAGGGTTGAAAGGCTTCGTTCGGAGGGACTCAGGCGTTCACCTTTCGGTGCTCTCACCTTTCGGTGCTCTCACCTTCCGGTGCTCTCACCTTTCGGTGCTTCCCCTGCGGGGTCCGCAGTCCTGGTAGGCGATCAATCCAGCAGCCCAGACATCAGCTTGAACACCTGCCAGGGTTGAAAGGCTTCGTTCGGAGGGACTCAGGGTTCACCTTTCGGTGCTCTCACCTTTCGGTGCTCTCACCTTCCGGTGCTCTCACCTTTGGGTGCTTCCACCCCGCGGGGTCCGCAGTCCTGGTAGGCGATCAATCCAGCAGCCCAGCCATCAGCTTGAACACCTGCCAGGGTTGAAAGGCTTCGTTCGGAGGGACTCAGGGGTTCACCTTTCGGTGCTCTCACCTTTCGGTGCTCTCACCTTTCGGTGCTTCCCCCCCGCGGGGTCCGGAGTCCTGGTAGGCGATCAATCCAGCAGCCCAGCCATCAGCTTGAACACCTGCCAGGGTTGAAAGGCTTCGTTCGGAGGGACTCAGGGGTTCACCTTTCGGTGCTCTCACCTTTCGGTGCTCTCACCTTCCGGTGCTCTCACCTTTCGGTGCTTCCCCTGCGGGGTCCGCAGTCCTGGTAGGCGATCAATCCAGCAGCCCAGACATCAGCTTGAACACCTGCCAGGGTTGAAAGGCTTCGTTCGGAGGGACTCAGGGTTCACCTTTCGGTGCTCTCACCTTTCGGTGCTCTCACCTTCCGGTGCTCTCACCTTTCGGTGCTTCCACCCCGCGGGGTCCGGAGTCCTGGTAGGCGACCAATCCAGCAGCCCAGCCATCAGCTTGAACACCTGCCAGGGTTGAAAGGCTTCGTTCGGAGGGACTCAGGGGTTCACCTTTCGGTGCTCTCACCTTTCGGTGCTCTCACCTTTCGGTGCTTCCACCCCGCGGGGTCCGGAGTCCTGGTAGGCGATCAATCCAGCAGCCCAGCCATCAGCTTGAACACCTGCCAGGGTTGAAAGGCTTCGTTCGGAGGGACTCAGGGGTTCACCTTTCGGTGCTCTCACCTTTCGGTGCTCTCACCTTCCGGTGCTCTCACCTTTCGGTGCTTCCCCTGCGGGATCCGCAGTCCTGGTAGGCGATCAGTCCGGCAGCCCAGCCATCAGCTTGAACACCTGCCAGAGTTGAAAGGCTTCGTTCGGAGGGACTCAGGGGTTCACCTTTCGGTGCTCTCACCTTTCGGTGCTCTCACCTTTCGGTGCTTCCACCCCGCGGGGTCCGGAGTCCTGGTAGGCGATCAGTCTGTCAGCTCCAGGAATCATCCGACATCAGCTTCAACACCTGCCAGGCTTGAAAGGCTTCGTTCCGAGGGAAAGATGCTCACCTGTCGGTGCTCTCACGTTTCGGTGCTCTCACCTTTCGGTGCTTCCACCCCCCGGGGTCCGGAAACCTGGTAAGCGATCAGTCCGTCAGCTCCAGGAATCATCCGACATCAGCTTCAACACCTGCCAGGGTTGAAAGGCTTCGTCCAGAGGGACAGATCCTCACCTTTCGGTGCTCTCACCTTTCGGTGCTTCCACCCCGCAGGGTCCGCAGAAGGGCTTAGTTCAGAGGGACTCAGCATTCCTACTCCTACTCCTACCACTACCCCTACCCCTACCCCTGCCGCTGCCGCTACCGCTACCGTTGCCGCTACCGCTACCACTACCACTACAAGCACTACTACCACTGCTACCACTGCTACCACTACTACCACTACTACCACTAGTACCATTGCTACCCCACTACTACCACTACTACCACTGCTACCACTGCTACCAGTACTGCTAGTGCTACCGCTACTACCGCTACTACCGCTACTACTACTACTACTACTACTACTACTACTACTACTACTACTACTACTACTACTACTACTACTACTACTACTACTACTACTACTACTATCTACTACTACTACTACTACTACTACTACTACTACTACTACTACTACTACTACTACTACTACTACTACTACTACTACTACTACTACTACTACTACTACTACTACTACTACTACTACTACTACTACTACTACTACTTACTACTACTACTACTACTACTACTAATATACTACTAGTACTTACTACTATACTATCTACTAATACTAATTACTAATACTATAATAAATACTAATACTCCTACATACTAGTTACTAATACTAATACTAACATAAACTACTATACTACTACAACTACTACTACATGTACTACTACTACTACTACTACTAATACTACTATACTACGACTAACTACTAATACTCTAGTACTACTTACTAATACTACTACTACTTACTACTACTTACTACTCTACTTACTACTATAATTACTACTACTTACTACTACTACTATGACTACTAGTCAATCTAGTACTACTGCTAATACTAATCTGTACTCTACTAGTACTAGTACTAGACTAATTACTAATGACGGCGCTGGGGGATTGATCTCGACTTGGTTGCTGCTCTCCCCACCAGAGCTGTAATGAATGTAGGTGTGACTGGCTAGCACTCTCCACAGACTGGACCCTGTCTCTCCCTCTTACTTCCACACGTGCGATCCTATGCAGGCAGAACCGGCGGCCGTTCCTTTTGCACTCGCTGCCGGCGGCGGTTCGTCTGTGCAACGGGATAGCTCTGATTGCTCAGGATAGAAGACAAATATAGCACTTAGCTATGGGCATTGACTTGAGCCAAACGTTGCGTTGGCGGTCACATAGAAGGGTAAAGACGAGGGATGCGTAGCATGCCCCCTAGAGTCGAGGGACGCGTAGCGTGCCCCCTTCTCTTGCACTTTACACGGTCTTGCTCACAGCTCTTATAGTGACACCTTAGAACATGACAAGGCATCGCAGTCCGTTCGCACCCCCCATGAGTTGCGTCTCTGACGCTGCTCACCCGGAAGATGGCACGATAGGACAGAAGAAAATTCCGCCGCAACGTTGACTTTTTTTTGAAAATCAGAGCTTTGTATCCCAATTATAAACGTTGTGACACTCATCTACGTCGGTAACGATCCCCTGAAATGACAAACGAATCAGGCGTCACCGAAGAAAGAAGCATTCGCGATGGCATTCCACGGGCGAAGCTCAGAGGTCACGAACTGATAGGCGAGGAAGATCAGGCGTTGTCTCGCCACCATCTTCGCGTTGATGTAGGGTCGCGGTCCCAGGGCCGGAGGTTCTCCTCTGGATACTGGTTCCTTGGCTTTCCTTTGTCCTTGCCTTTGTTTCGGCCTTTGGCGGCGATGTAGTCGTGGTAGGAATTGGTGTTCCAGCCACCATGTTGCTCGCCTCCGGTTCTTCCACGCCCTTTTGAAGGTCCTTTGGATGAAGAAGCGCTTTCACGTTCCTCCGTAGTGACAGGCGTGTCCAGGATGGAAGTACCACCCGGAGGAAGATAGTCAGCGGCCGAAATGTGGTGTAGAGCTTCCGTACGCCTTGTCGTTGGGTTTTGCTGTCTCTCAGTCTTGGATCTGTTCAATCTGTCCATGAAATGCGCAGGCATTTGAACGCTGTGGTCCACCAGCAAGGCGATGGTCTGAACTGACTGATCAGAATGAGTCAGCAGAATACCAACGGGGTCGATGTACAAGAAGTCCACTGTTCCAGTTGGCGTTGGTCGTA